GTAATTTGCATTAGTATGAATAACAAAGGGTAAAGTACCCATATAGTCTCTAAAGTAAAGGGTTGCTTCTATTTTGACCATCATTTTTTTTCCAATTAGACCACTCAACTATAAAATTACTATCAATCAAGCCACTGACGATTAGCATTTGACGAAAATGATGATGTGATACTTACGTAAATTTATATGCATAATATTTATTATTTACACATGCTATCAATTTAGTTATAATTTTAATTTAAATAAATAAATTTAACCACCCAATCATATGGTGATGAAAATGATGGTGTGATAATTAACTAAATTTATATAATTATACTTTTAGTCATCGTCATTTACACATTCTATGTGCTTAGTCCTAATTTTAATTTAAATCTTCCAATCATATTTAAAAAGTACATGTACTTTACCAAAATAAAAAATACATGTAAAAGTCCCCTAATTATATATTATATTAAATATCAATTACTTATCCATAATATATATATATATATATATACATGTAAAAAATGTGAACAATTAGGCATGAAAATTGAAAATGGTGGAGACCCACCTTTCAATAAGTGAGGTGAATATTATTGTATGTTTCCCTAAATGGATGATTCATTCTTGCAATGAAAAAGGTTCGATTTACTTGTTTATCCTTCGTTGCATAACAAGGGACAAAAATAGGGATAGATATTTAATCTAAATTCCTTAAATTTTGATTCGATCATAAATTTAAAAAAAAAATTGACTTCAAATCGGGTTAGGTTTGAGTTTAAGATAAAAAATACTCAATCCAAAAATAATAATATAATTGACATTTATATATTAATGGATAAGTAGTATAATCTCCCTTTATTTATATTTTTTCAATTAAGTTCATATTTTATCTAATAAAAGAATGATAATTATATATACATATATAATGTCTCTACAAAATCTAATCTAAATTAATCAATAAGTAGATAGATATCAATAAAAGAAAATCATGCATCAATCAAAAGGTATAAAGTGATATACTCAAGTGGCTAGGAAACATCACAACTTAATTAAGACTTTCCAATTATAGCTCTCTTTAGAGTCTTTGCATAAAAAGGACGTTACAGCTTGCAAAGTGTACCATTAATTACATCTAAACAATGTTTATGAATATATTAATGGTTGAAGTTCCCACTCCCAACTGTGTTTCTAATCATGAAATGGTCTCAATTCTTTTAAGTACATTATGGAACCCTATTATTCTACATTTATTTACATAATGACTTTAGCCCTATGCTCTTCACCTATAGGACAGCCATAAAGGTAATTGATTACACATCAAAAGAAAACAATTTTTTAAGTTTCAAACAACATGGATTATCTTATGAAAACAATAAGCAAATCCTTTCCTATATAAAACTTAGGGTAAACTATGCATTTACTCACTTAAATTTATTGTGTTTCAATTATAGTCATCCAACTTTAATCTTTTCTTATTTTTCCACTCAACATTCGAATTTGTATTTTTGTCACCGTTGTGTAACAACAGTGGCAAAACCTTACGCTTTGGGAAGGTTTATTTATGAAATTAACCTAATATTCACCCTTCTTCTTTAATATGACCAACATCCTTTTCCACTGTCGTTCAATTGTTATCGACCATTATTTGTGATATAACTGGTACCATAGTGTTCCTCTTTCTCTCCTTTTTAGTCTTCTCATTTTTTTTCTCAAAATCCCCTCGAAATCGACAAAATTAAAATTAAAATTTCAATGTTATCTTAATTGATATGCAATATTCATCGTGTGATCATCATAGAATTATGATATATTTTACTTTTCACCTTCTCGATCTCCCCACCGTTTACATTTGAAAGAAAATATTATGACACCAATGAATCAAAGAGAGTAAAATTATGAGTTTGAGAAGAAATTTCAGTGTTTTGTATAAAATTACTCAAAATAAAATAAAATTGCATTATACACTTAGCGACTGGATGACTTAAAAAATTAAATTCGAAAGTTGGGAGGTAAAATAATTTTTTAAAGTAAAATGACACAAATATAAATGCATTAAAAGTTGAGTAATTGAATGCATAGTTTACCTTAAAGTAAATTGGACCGTTGATCTATCCCTTTGAAGTCTGAAAGCTTGCTTTGCTAGATGCTCTGTTTGTGGGCCGGAAATCCCAGATGAAGCTTATGCATGTAAAATATGCAAATACTACATACACAAAACATGCATTAGATACACGAAACATATGGCTGAAAGACATGGAAACACAATCCAAGTTATGCCTTTTCAAGCAAGACCGTAAGTTAAGCAACGTAATTTTGTAGGCATTATACCAGGAATATCAAATCCATCCTATAACTCGTAAGGATGATTTTAAAGAAGATGATTCCAGAGAATATTTTTGTAACATTCTGAAGAAGAAAGAGATGCGATAGACCATTTCTATCTCTGCACAAAGTGTGGAGGACCATGTGAGAATGGAGGCATGGTGAGCGGAGTTGATGAACAGAAAAGGAGAGAAGACAAAAGAGAAGCGAACGAAGATATGAAAGAACTAAAGAAATTTTATTAGAAAAAAATTCACTTTAAATATTCAGTTGAGTTAATGAATAAAACCCAATACACTAGATTTGTAGCCTATTATAAGCCTAACTAATACATTGACCTTTAACAGACTAAATCCCCTCTCGGTCTGGTCGGGACAAGTTTCAGGAGATGAGTCTGTGAGTGAAGTTTCAGGAGCTGTTGGCACCGTTGTGGGACAAAGTGAAATTATTGTGTTTATCCAGGCATTACGTACTCTTTGTAATTTAATGATGTATTCATGCTCCTCTATAAACAATCCTCTTAACTATCTTTAATCTTTGTAAGATTGAACCTTTACAATTCGATTTAACTTATTATCAAACTTGTTGGTGTAGGACATGACAGGGTTGATAAGCAAGGTATACCGTTCCCGTGACATCTTTGTAAGTTTTAATGCACATTTTAGAGGTCGCTGTTATGTTTTCATGACGACCAAATATTCTTTATGATTTTTCTTGCTCTTACTGAACCTTCCAATGCTTTTAATATCTCTTCCTTGTCCTACTTCTCTACCATATTTCATATATTTTTACGTTTGGATCAAGTGCACGTCTTTTAAATCAAATTACTACTCATCTTTTTATCTTCTTCGTCGCGCACATCTCTACATGATAGCTAATTTCTTTAACGTTGAAGTGGATCGTGGGGTCAACGGGTGTAAACATTTCATAAAATTTTATAAATTTATCTTCTAACATAAAATCTTATGTTTGTTTATTTATTTAACATTAACTACAGAGGAAAACGTTGATCAACGACACGCTAAGAAAAAATCTAGAGCACTCTAAGAATTCTCCACATGCAAGAGAAAACAGTTCGCCAATGTAGAGAGCACTCGGTCTATTTAGTCTATAAAACAGAAAACCGATCAACCCGGTTTTTAATTTAAGAAAAAACTAAAACCAATCTGATTACACGAGAAAACTAAACTCGATCTACCCACTTTGTTTCAGTCGGTTCGATCATAAACCTTTTTCCACAACATATTTTAATAAAGTTTCACTTAACCCTGAGGAATGAAAAACAACGAACCACTCGGTGGTTAAAGAAAACATAATTTTCCTTGAAATTTGGGTTAAAGTAAATACGTCTGCAAAATGACGATAAAATTTTATCGTATTGTTACAAAATTATCATTAACGTTATGAAAGATACATAATTGGAGAGTAAGACAATCTTTTGTGATGTTTAAGCGTTTAATTAGCACAACAAAATTGGAATTTTTAAACTTTTTCCCTCTTCATGTAGGATGTATACAGGAAACCCCAATATTTCTACATTTGGAGCCTTTATATCAACACTAAGGTGGTGTTTGTTTTTACTGTGTAAGGTCTGCAAAGTCTTATGTCTGCACCGCGCAGACCACGCGTAGACATTGAGCTTCACAGATCGTTTATTTTTTTAGAAGACATAAGCTCTTCTAACGTCTGCGCTAGGTCTTCTTGGTGCAGACATGGTTTTATGTCTTCAAACGTCTTCAAAGAAATTAAAATTATTTAAATCTATTTTAAAATTTTATTTTAAAATATGGATTGATTTATTTTAAAATATGGATTGATTTATTTTAAAATATGGAAAATTTTATTTTAAAATATAGATTGATTTATTTTAAAATATGGAAAAATTTATTTTAAAATATGAATTGATTTATTTTAAAATATGGAAAATTTTATTTTAAAATATGAATTGATTTATTTTAAAATATGGATTGATTTATTTTAAAATATGGATTGATTTATTTTAAAATATGGAAAAATTTATTTTAAAATATGGATTGATTTATTTTAAAATATGAAAAATTTTATTTTAAAATATGGATTGATTTATTTTAAAATATGGATTGATTTATTATAAAATATGGAAAAATTTATTTTAAAATATGGATTAATTTATTTTAAAATATGGATTGATTTATTTTAAAATATGGATTGATTTATTTTAAAAATATGAAAAATTTTATTTTAAAATATGGATTGATTTATTTTAAAATAGGAAAAATTTTATTTTAAAATACAGATTGCTTTATTTTAAAATATGGATTGATTTATTTTAAAATATGATTGATTTATTTTAAAAAATGTATTATTGTAGTTGTATGGATTATTTAAATTTCAGTATTATAAAACTAAAATTATTTAAATTTCAGTATTGCAAAACTCTTTTAAGTTTAAAAAATCAGTTTATTTATATTTCAGTTTATTTTAGCAGTCTGCAGACGTTAAAAAACAAACAATCTTCTTCTTGCAGACTGCAACTTTTGGTCCACATCTTCTGCTACAGATGCCTGCAGATGTGGTCCGCAGACTGCAGACCTTTTACCTCTGCAAAAACAAACACCACCTAAAGAACCCAAAAAGAGAAAAGGAAAAACAAAAAAAGAATAAATAACATTTTTTTAGCAAAATCATTAAACATAATGTTGATGCCACTTCATGTGGTTATTCTTCTCAGATGTGAAAGCCCAAACATAATGTTGATGCCACTTCATGTAGTTCTTCTCAGATGTGAAAGCCCTTCATCTATGGCCTTTCTCTTGTTATTGTTGGACTGTTGCTGCTGCTGCTGCTCCTGCTGCTGGACTTTTTGTTGTTTTGGTGATTGAAAAGCAGTCTTTTCTTCTTGTTTCTGATTGTGATCCTTGAGCTTGGTTTTCAACATATGGGGCCTTAGTTTACTCAAATCTGATAGCCTCACTGGCTTCAGGAAAAAAATTTCAGCGCCTTCTTCTAAACATCTGACTCAAATATTAAACCAGCAAAATGAGTTTCACCATAAAATACAATTTCAAATGCTTGTATTTGACTTCTTGTTTTCTACCTGGTGATCCTTGAAGTGATATTCTCAGATGACATGATTACCACTGGCATATTCCTTAGAGATGAAGATTCCTGCAACAATACCATTCAAACGACAAACTCCTCAAATCTAAATCAAATCATGAAATGATTTGCCCGTTGAATGTGTTGATCAAGTGGCCAAATATTCCAAAACATGTTTTCCCTTTTTTCCTCAAGCACGTCTGCACGTCTGCCACTTTAGGACTCCATTTGCCTACTTTTTCCAATGCATCTATTCATCGTGCAAAGATTTATTATGAGACGATCCTACTAATCAAACTTTTTTCATGCATTACGTTAGAATTCAAAAATCTTACTTAAAATATCTAGTATCTCATCCCATCAAGCTATCTAATTGTTGATATATATATATATATACTAATTTGGCAATGCAAAAGAAAAGAAAATCCTAAAAATTTCATAGCTATAAAAGGAACTGGAATAAGGGAATACAATAGATGAAAGAGAAAAGAAATAATTAATAGAAACAAACACACCTTGATTTTCTTAAGCAAGTCATAGCCTGTCATGCCAGGCATACAGTAATCTGTAATGACAAGATTCACTTCAACTTCCTACAGACCATAAAACAATCAGAAAATTTTCACAACAAAAATTTGGTAATCTTAGATATCAAAAAGAAGAAGAAAAACCATGAACCCGGTGATTATTAGAAGAAGCAGATGATGTATTTGGGTTGATTGCGCCATCTTGATGTAACCCAGAAATTCTAAAGCTTTAGTGCCTGAATCAACTGTGGCAACTGTCAATGAAATCTAAATGATAAAAAGAAGAGGAGAAAAGAAATGAAACCTTAGATTGATGAAGAATTTTTTTTACCCAATTACCTTGGTATGAAGACGTTTTAAGTAACCTTTCAATAAGCTTTCTGTCAATGATACTGTCGACAACAGCTAGAATATGAAACTTTGGCTCAGCTGCCCATCCCATTATCCCAATTCATGACTCAGCAATGGGATTGACAAAGATAATTTGTTTTGAGAGGATGGGGAGTGGCTGTGTTATTTGTCTCCGAGGTTGAGAGAATGGTGGTGAAGAAGATAAAGAGATTGCAATTGGAAAGAAAAAGGACCCATCAGAATCCACACTTTATTAAGAAAGATCCGACCAGACTTCATCCCAAATCTTGAAATTTTTTCAAGTTGATTGATTTTGAATTACAGGGAAAGCAACAAGGAAAACGGGATGACAAATAAGAATTAATAAAATATTGAAATATTGAAGAACGGGGAGGTGGTCTCAAATCTTTATTTATGGGAAAACTAAATGGTTTCATCATTTCGACTTTGATTTTAGAAAAAAATATTATATAAACTTTTTCACTAAGTCGTTCACATAAAAACTATTTATATAATTTTTTTCTTTCTATGTTATTTTTTTAAAGATGAATCTTCATTTTTTCTATATAAATATTAAAAAATAAAATAAATGATTTTTTATTAGTCGAAACCATAAGTAATGTGGTGAAGAGAATTCATGAATTAATTTTTATTTGATTCAACTTTGTTTTATTTCGAATTTATCAATAAATATAAACTCAAAATCTATCTTTAATTAAGTTTGAGTAAATTATATTGTTCGTCATTAAATTATTTTTTCACTCCTACTTCAATAATAGAAGTTTAATTTTTTAAAATTTAATCAATAAACTTTCAAATTACTCATATTTTGATCACTCTAAGATGACATGACTTATTTTATTGATATTTTCTTATGATATGGTATATTTTATCAATATTTTTCCATGTATGATTTAAAATAAAAAATAGAATGGCACAAACAATAGCTATGACGTTTCCTCAAACAAATTCTTGAATACAGAGCCAGTAATAAATTGGGTTTCTTCAATTCTTCAAGAGACTTTGGAAGTGAAAATGTGAAATATCTATGAAGAAAACAATCGAATGGTGTGTCGCGTACAGAAGGTACAATTTATTTATACTCCAAGGGATTGTAATAGGATGGTACATTTTCTCACTAAGACAGGGTCCAAAAGGCAAGAATTCAAAGCTTGGTGATAATATTTGCATATGAGCGTGTGTTTTTTGAAGGGGTTATTGCTTATAGGTTGCTTATTTGAATATGGGTTGTATTTTACCTAGTTATTTTAGCATTGTATGTGTAAGCTTGTCTATTCCTCTTTTGTTTTGTGGTGGACTTTTTCCCTCTATATAGGATTAGGGAGTTTTTAACGAGACTCACAAATCAAGATTAAGCGTCTTTGATATTTAATGAATAAAAATATTTTTTCGAGCAAAAAAAAAACTTTATACATTAACTCTAATCCTTAATCTACAAACTATGTTAGGATTGATGAAGCTCAAATTGATAAACCAAATAATTTACCAAGATGAGGTGAATTGGCTTTTTGAGTTTAGGGAGTAAAGAGTATAAAGATGAAACAATTTGCACAAGGATTTATAGTGGTTCGACTTCTCAACTATGTCTACATCTACTACCTAAGCTCACCACTTAGGATTTTCTAACAAATCCACTAATTTGTTCTTTCTTTTTCCAGGACAAAGAGATAACATTTACAACTCTCTAGCTTTTCAAATGCTAAGCTAGAACCAATCCCCTTTACAAAAGGAATAAAATATGTAAATAAGAAAAATCTCTTAAAGGAATGTGTAAAATTAAGCTCACTAAAACACTAATATTTACAAGAGAAAGGAAAATAAGAATGAAATGCTCTTCTCTTATGTTTGATTGCTTGGATAGGTGCTGTCACATTCTTCAAGTGTCCTTAATTTTTTTTATATTTAAAATGAGTTTGTGGCAGTTTCTACCCGTTGGGGATGTTTTGGAGCCGTTGGGGATTAATTTTCTGCAAAATAAAGTTACCCAGAACAGGGAGTATCGATACTTCCTTAATGAATATCGATACTACCTTTGTAATATTTAAATAAACTAGTCGTTGAAAATTGTTGGGCTTGACCAGTATCAATACTATGTGATAACTTCGTAAAAGGCCACATTTTGGGACCTTTTAACTTATGTTATTGAATGTCTAAAGGCTCATTTAGGACCATGTAAGGCATTTAGAAGCATTTAGTTGCATGTGGTGGATTTCGGTTTACCGTGGCATTTTATTTTTACAGCGGTGCTGTTTTATGGGAAAGGTACTTGTCTGATGATGTGCAGGTATTGAGAGCAAGAAAAGAGGAAAGAAAATGATGTTACATAAGGAGATTGATAAGCAAAATGAATTTTCCAAGTTCAACCGATATTTCGAAAGTGTTTAAAGTGCGAGAAGATATTTTTGAAGCCAGCTGTATCCAACTGTCCGAGAGCTCTGCCCGAGAAATCCACCTCGAAGATCCACCTGGAGGGACCAGCACTGCAACCGCGGTTCTGCTAATGACGCCGCCTGACCCTACAGATCTTTCTGTCATTGGGCTCCTGCAACGGGATTATGCTGGTTCTATTGATGACGCCGCATGACCCTGCAGATCTTGTCTGTCCTTGGGTGCCTGCAACAGGATTATGTCAGTCACTCATGCCAGCTACCCAGGTTGTATCATCACATGTCTTGCCCGACTCCCAAGCAAGTTAACCATAGTTTGGGAAAGTCAACTCTTAGTTCAAGGGTTAATTTTCCCCTTTAAATAGAGGATGAAGCCACAATGTTAGAGACTTTAGTTCCACCCGGATTTGAGCTTAAAAAGTTAGAGAGAGAAGGTCTCATCTTTCTCTGTCAATCCTACTTGCCGTGGCATTTCTCATTGACAAGCCTGAGGGAGTGACGTTCTGAGTGTCCTAGAGGAGCCAGTCTGCTGGGAGCAGTTCTTGGTGGCTGAGGGATGCATTGGGCAGTGCACGTCGAAGGCTTTCTCTCCTCCCCTTAGTTCTTTGCTTTCATATTTTGTTAAAGGGTTGTAAGGAACGAATGAAACTTGTTTTGTGCTTGTTTATTTCGAACCCCACCATGAACTAATCCTATTTTGTGGGAGTTCGCTTGGATATTTAAGTTTCATTTCAATGAATGGTTGTTTTTATATGCTTTAATCTGTTTTGTTTATGAAACTTAATGCCTTAAGGTTGTAGGAGCTACGAGAGTAGCCTTTCTTAGGAGGTTTTAGGGTTCGAGAGAATGCCTTGGCAAAATATCTTTAGTCTTCGAGAGAAGCTAGGGAGGAACTACATAAACAAGGGGTTCTAGGTAGTAACTAGGCCTAATCCACCTTAGAGATAATGATAGGATTTCATTCGACTAAAAGGAGTAGATCATAACCGATAGGATAGATGTTAATGCTACCACAAAAAGGTATTATCGAGACATATCCTGTTATCTGGACCAATAGGATCACTGAAGGGGTTTACGCCAATCGGTTTTGCCAGGGCATTTTTAATATGTCGAGTCCCTTACTAAAGATAGCATAGGGCACCTTAGTAGACTCTGTCGAGCAGTCTAGGCATAGAAGAAATACCATTCAAAGAAATAGACTTAGATTTTCTTAGTGACTCCTACCACTCATTCCCATAGCTGCTTGTCGTGTGAGAAAACTAAAGTCCTATATATATTAAATCCAGTAATTGCATTTTATTTTGCCTTGACATTTCTAATTGTTTGCACTTATCACAATTGAATTTGCCACGACATTTCCATCCACTTTGTTGCGATATATCTATTTACTACCATACCACCATTCCGTTTTCACAACATCCATCTTATTTTGCCACAACATTATCATTTGTACATACCATCACTAACTTTACTTAGGTGACAAAGTAAAGTGCCTTGACAAACCTATTTGATTTCCCCAATTCCTTGTGGAGACGATACTCTACTTATCACTTTATTACTTGTTCGATTGTGTATACTTGCACACATATCCACACTCATTTTATAGTACCCACAAGAGCGGACAAGTTTTTGGCGCCATTACCGGGGAGTTGGCTATTGGAAGTTAAATTGATTTGTCATAGCATTTTTATTTTACTTGTTCATATTTTCTTTTTAGTTAGCTTTACTTGTTACTTTCCTTAATTCTTCTTCATTTATTTTTCTAGGTACATGACCCGAAGCAACCTTGAATAGCATTAGAATCGATTGATCTGTAATCGAGAGGCTTTTTAGACAAGAAGACGTGTTCAACGTGTGAACATGTACCAAATCGGAAATCAAGGTATTGGTCATAGGGGATCAGAATGCCGGGGCAAATGTAAATACTGGGAATGCAGCCAGACCTCGTGCCATTCGTGATCACTTAAACCCGATCTTAGATGTCTTAAATCCTGGAATAGAGACACCAGAGATTCAGGCAGCCCGCTTCGAACTCAAACCCGTCATGTTCAATATGTTGAACTCCATAGGATAATTTGAGGGCATGCCAAATGAAGATGCCAGGCAGCATATTCGTAACTTCTTGGAGGTATGCGATTCTTTTCGCCAACAAGGGGTGCACGAAGATGTTATGAAATTAAAGTCATTTCCGTATTCCCTGCGCGACCGAGCAAGGGCATGGTTCAGTGGCGTTCCAGCGGGTTCAATGGAGTCGTGAACTGATTTGTGCAAAAAAAAATTGATGCGATATAATCCTCCGAATATGAACACCCAACTGAGGAACAACATTGCTTCCTTCCGTCAGGCTGATGACGAGTCGATGTATGAATGCGATCGATACAAGGCATTGGTTCACAAGTGCTCAAACAATGTTTTCAAGATTAGAAACAAGTGGTGATGTTCTACAATGGAGTTAACGCTCCCACGAGGATGATGCTAGATGCCTCGGCAAATGGGACGCTGCTTGACAAATCACCATCAGAGGCATTTGACATTCTGGATAAGATTGCCACCAATGATTATCAGTTTCCATTCATACGGCTTGGAGCTGGGCGCAAGTCACAAGGAGCTTTCGAGCTAGATTCTAAAGATAACTTGTCCTCCCAACTTGTTGTCATCACCAACATACTGAAGAATTTGCAAA